TTCATTCACAAGTTTAATTCTTATGCAAATGGTAAGAATCATGATATCAGATGGCTCGCACATTATCAACCAGCCAAACAATGAAGGTGCTAATGGTTCTTGATGTCTGTTTGAATCTGGTGTTGGTCATCTGCCTTTCCAGGTGCAAACAAATGGTTCTTATCAGCCTCTTGTAACTACTTAGTCTTTAAGGTGCTACTAAACTATTTGTTGTTTTTTTAAGTCTTTCCTTTTACAGACTAACTCTGCTATCCCTCTGAAACTTACCTACTCACTGTCTCTTTTTTCTTCCTCCCCTTCATTGTTTTCCTTCTGGTCCTCTGCCCCTTCCCTTATTTATTCTTGGAACTGGACTTCCAACATTCCAGTGATCTGAAGAAGTGGGCTGTGCCCACAAAAGCTCATGATCCCATCTACATGCTTTGTTAGTCTTTAAGGTGCTATTAGATGGGGGTGGGCAATAATTTTTGCCCGGGAGCAAAACATTTTTGAAGTAGCCCCAGGCCACCCCGGAAGGAGCAGGGCCTAAATAGGAAGGGGCGGGGCTACCCTGCCCCCAGACCATGATTGGTATAAGGGTGGGGGAGCCCCTTTGCCCCCCCTTCCCACTAAGCACCCATGCTCTGGACGAGGCTTGGCATACTCCCCCATCCCCAGGCCTATCAGGGCCTGGGGGCGGGGAAGCACGGGAAGCCTCCTCCTGCCCTAGCAGGGCCTAAATAGGAAGGGGCGGGGCTACCCTGCCCCCAGACCATGATTGGTATAAGGGTGGGGGAGCCCCTTTGCCCCCCCTTCCCACTAAGCACCCATGCTCTGGACGAGGCTTGGCATACTCCCCCATCCCCAGGCCTATCAGGGCCTGGGGGCGGGGAAGCACGGGAAGCCTCCTCCTGCCCTGCGAGGCACACGTGGCACTTTGAAGTGCCGTGCGCTCCTTTCAGGGCTGGGGCAGGGCAAAGGACGCTTCACGCAGCTGCCCCATCCCCAGGCCCTGATTGGCGTGGGGGCGGGAGAGCGCGCAAAGTCTCCTCCGCTCTCCCCCCCACCCTGTGAGCAGCGCCTTTCAGGGCTGGGGCAGGGCAAAGGACGCTTCACGCAGCTGCCCCATCCCCAGGCCCTGATTGGCGTGGGGGCGGGAGAGCGCGCAAAGTCTCCTCCGCTCTCCCCCCCACCCTGTGAGCAGCGCGCGGTGCTTCAAAGCACCAGGTGCTCCTGGCAGGGCAGGAGGAGGCTTCGGGCACCCCCTGCCCCCAGGCCCTGATTGGCTTGGGGGTGGGGGAGCAGCAGGGCCTCCGCAGGCCAGATCCACCCGCTTGGTGGGCCGGGTCTGGCCCACAGAGGCCCTTTTGCCCACCCCGTACCAGACTAGTCATTGGTTTTTAAGTTTTTTCAGTTACAGTCTAACTCAGCTCCCCCTCTAAAGCGTTTGTAATTCTGGTGTTGGTTAGTGTTGGTTCTTATCTCCCTTGGAAATAGTTGAAGGAGCTGTTAGGTTTTGGTGGTTTACTTACCTGCGGAGCTCTCGCTTCCTGTGTGTGCTGCAGGGCATGCCTGGGCACCAAGTCTTCAGCCCTGCAGTATGTGCCATTAGCCTATGCCCTGCAGAGACCCCTACGAAGCCTGCCTTAAGTGCCTTGGGGAAGCTCCTCTGTTGGAGACCTGCAAGACCTGTAAGGCTTTCAAGCCACGGGCCAAGCGAGAATGAGAGTCCCACCTGAAGATCAGACGCATGGAAGCAGCTCTCTGCCCGGCACCAGCATTGGACCCAGGACCGACAACCCGCAGTGCACCGGTGTTGGCGCAGGAGGCAACAAGCCGTTCGCAAGCCACTCTGGTGCCGCACAGGCTTCAACACCGGTCTCAGTCTCCAGTGCCACAGAAGAAACGGAGACCTAGCTGGGGCATGTGTCATTAGTGCACCCTCAGGTGGGACAGTGGCACTGGCTGGATCAGCACGTCATGTCAGACTGTTCCTGCCCACGTCGGGACTCGAGCCTGGTGGAGGATCTCCCAGAGCCCTCGACCCCGGACGCTTTTGAGGCCGTGAGGGATCTCATCGAGCTCAGCTCGTCTCCAAACTCACCTGGCCCGCCTAAGGAAAATCAAGCTTGGGGGCTCTGGGCCACATCCATAGCACTGCTGTCTCCAGCACCAGATGTGAGGGTCCATCACCACCCCACTCCAGTGCTGTTGACCGCTACACCCACACCAGCTCCCACTCCATCCCTGGTGCCAGCACCTGCTGCAGCGGTATCACCAGCACTGAGCCAGGACACTGGTGTGGCACCGGCTCCAGCACTGGCGGGGGAAGCAAGCTGGGAGTGTTGCCTTTGATGCCACTGCCTTCTCCTCGGCACCAAGGAAAACCAGAGTCTATGGCTCGAATCGCCCCTGGGTTTAGGTTGCTGACTACAACAACTACAGCACTGCCCTGGTTGACCTGTAAGGGGATGTCTAGACTACATGGCTCTGTCGACGGAGGCATAAAGGATCTGATGACAAAGGGATCTGGGGTTAACTGATCCCCGTCTAGACTTCCACGCTGTGCCGACAATCAGCTGACCGGCACAGTGCGGCGGCCATTTTGATGTAAATGGAGTGGCGATTATTTAAATCGCCGCTTCATTTCCCTTTGCCGAGTACACTCATCTAAATGGCTCCATCAACGGAGCCATGTCGTCTAGACACACCCCAATAGTCAATCAGTTTGGAGCCAGAATCAGCCGCATCAAAGTGCTCCAGATTGAGGTGGAGGCACAGGTCTCAGCACCACTCCCAGTGCATAGTATATTGGTGCACTCTAGGCTCCAGCAACAGTTCTGGGCCTCACGATCAACCCCAGTGCAGCCAGCGCAGCAGTGTCAGGTTCCTGGTCAGTGACCCTTTTGGACCCCCTGGGCATATCACCAGAACCAGGGTGTGGGCCCCTCTAGAGCGGAGTCCATTGTCTCTGGTCCCAGGGCCCCTCCATCGGCGACCCCACTGACCTGCTTTCCTACATTGGGCCAGTCCCTGCCCCCGGGGATGTCTTCGCCCAGAACTTCGGTCAAAAGGGAGCCATCCTAGTCACAGCCCCACACACTGGCATCCTCAGCAGCCTCCCAGGTCCCCTTGCAGGCCCCAAAGGGTTGTTGTCTTCATCCCCTGTAGGGGTGCTACCATCTATGCCCTCCATGGACTCATGGTTGCACTAGGATCTTCTCTGCCTGGCGCAGAGTCTAGGGTACAGGCCAAAAGGTATCAGATGACTCGGACCTGATTGTTGACATCCTACAGGCTGATGTGCCCACCAGGGTGGCCCTGCCAGTGAACAAGACCATGACAAAGATGGTGAAGACACTGTGCAGACCCCGGCCTCCATTCCACCCACTAATAAGAAGACTAAGCGCTGCTATTCCATCTCTCGTTCCCCTCCAGGATGTCTGGTGGTTCAGGCAGCTAACCAGCGAGAGAGGCAGGGGCAGTCGGGCACAATGCCCAAGAGCAGGGACACCAAGGCCAATCTGCTGGGCAGGAAGGCTTATGCCTCCGGAGGCCTTCAGCTCGGCATAGCTATTCAGCAGGTGTTTGCACTTGGGCTAGTTCCACGGAACTCCAGCCCTGAACTCAAGTCCCTCTTAGATGAGGGCAGGATAATATCCTGAGCGGCCCACCAGCTGGCCCTGGATACCGTGGACGTGGTGGCTTGCACCATGGCCATGGGCTTAGTAATGCGCCATAACTCTTAGCTGTAGGTGTCTGGAGTGCCCTGGAGCTCCAGACCACTATCCAAGACTTCCCTTTTGAAGGCCTCTCCCTGTTCTATCATCTGCACAGCCTTAAGGGCACCTGAGCCACCCTAAAAACCCTACGGACCCACATACCCGCCCTCAGAGGCACTCCTCCTCAGGCAGATATGCCTCCCCAGCAGCGTGTCCATCAGGATTTCTCCCGCCGTAGGGGCAGAAATCATAGAATCATAGAATACTAGGACTGGAAGGGACCTTGAGAGTCATCGAGTCCAGTCCCCTGCCCACTCGGCAGGACCCAGTACTGTCTAGACCATCCCTGATAGACATTTATCTAACCTACTCTTAAATATCTCCACAGATGGGGATTCCACAACCTCCCTGGGCAATTTATTCCAGTGTTTGACTACCCTGACAGTTAGGAACTTTTTCCTAATGTCCAACCTAAACCTCCCTTGCTGTAGTTTAAGCCCATTGCTTCTTGTTCTATCCCCAGAGGCCAAGATGAACAAGTTTTCTCCCTCCTCTTTATGACACCCTTTTAGATATCTGAAAACTGCTATCATGTCCCCCCTCAATCTTCTCTTTTCTAAACTAAACAAACCCAATTCTTTCAGCCTTCCCTCATAGGTCATGTTCTCTAGACCTTTAATCATTCTCGTTGCTCTTCTCTGGACCCTCCACAATTTCTCCACATCTTTCTTGAAATGCGGTGCCCAGAACTGGACACAATACTCCAACTGAGGTCCAACTAGCGCAGAGTAGAGCAGAAGAATGACTTCTCGTGTCTTATTCACAACACAGCTATTAATGCATCCCAGAATCATGTTTGCTTTCTTTGCAACAGCATCACACTGCTGACTCATATTCAATTTGTGGTCCACTATAACCCCTAGATCCCTTTCTGCCATACTCCTTCCCAGACAGTCGCTTCCCATTCTGTATGTGTGAAACTGATTGTTCCTTCCTAAGTGGAGCACTTTGCATTTGTCTTTATTAAACTTCATCCAGTTTACCTCAGACCATTTCTCCAATTTGTCCAGGTCCTTTTGACTTATGACCCTATCCTCCAGATTAGTCACAATCTCTCCCAGTTTGGTATCAGCTGCAAACTTAATAAGCGTAATTTCAATGCCAATATCTAAATCGTTGATGAAGATATTGAACAGAGCCGGTCCCAAAACAGACCCCTGCGAAACCCCACTTGTTATGCCTTTCCATCAGGATTGTGAACCATTAATAACTACTCTCTGAGTATGGTTATCCAGCCAGTTATGCACCCACCTTATAGTAGCCCCATCTAAATGGTAACAGGACAACTAATAGGCGTCTCTCCCGCCCCTCATCAGACCAAGGCGTGGGCCCCTCTAACAAGTCCCAGGACCCATGTCAAGGGTTTAGTTGGTGTGCTCAGGGACAAAATACCAGCCTCACCTCTCCAGTTTTTAGATCACCTACTCCCTTTCTACTGGGCATGGGAACCCATCAGCTCCAATAGGTGGGTTCTAGAGACAGTAGGGAGGGGATATGTCATCCCCTTCCTCTCACCTCCCCCCTCACACCTCCCTACTCCCTCTCTCTTCAGGGATCCCGCTCACAAGCATCTCCTCAGGGAGGAGGTGCAACAGTTCCTGCGACGGGGAGCCGCCGAAGCGGCCCCCAGGGATTCGGGCACAAGGGGTTCTACTCAAGGTATTTCCTAGTGCCCAAAGCAAAGGGGGTTCTGGCCCACCCTAGACGTCAGGGATTTAAATACATTCATCATTAAAGCCAAGTTCAAGATGGTGACACTGGCATCAAGCATCCCTCCCTCAGCCTTGGACACTCATGCGCTGCCCTCGGTCTCAAGGACACTTACTTCCACATCTCGATCGCATCCCATCACAGGAGATTTCTGCGTTTTATGGTTGGCCCAGGTCATTACCAATTTACAGCCTTCCCCTTTGGGCTGTCTACAGCCCCCTGAGTTTTCATGAAATCCTTGGCTGTAGTGGCAGCCTTCCTAAGGCAGCGAGGGGTCCAAGTATTCCCCTACCTCAACGACTGGCTGGTGCGGGACTCATCCTCAGACCAGATGCTAGTGCATATTGCTTTGGTGCAGGCCCTTTTCTCGGAGCTGGGCCGCCTCCTGGACGTGGCCAAGTCAACTCTGGTCCCCACTCAAGACATAGAGTTTGTAGGAGTTCATCTGGACTCCACGACAGCCATGGCCTTCCTTCCCAGATCTCATTTCCTGGCTATCAGGGAAGCCATTCTGGCCTTACAAGCATTCCCTATGACCACGGCCAGAAACTGCATGCACCTACTAGGGCTCATGGCCACCTGTACGTATGTGATTCAGCATGCCAGGCTCCACATGCATCCCCTGCAGCTGTGGTTGGCTTGGGTTCACAGCCCTTCCTCCATGTCTGGGACAGGGTGGTGATAGTCTATCCGGGTATTCTCCAATCCCTGGACTGATGGACCCAGGAGCAGGTGGTCCATGCTGGAGTCCCGTTCTCCAGGCCCCTCCCAACCCTGCAACTTGTAGCAGATGCCTCCAACACTGGCTGAGGCGCCGTCGGCAACGTAAGAATGAAAGGTCACAGGAGGAACTTTCCCTGCACATCACTGTCAGGAAGCTGTGGACTGTTTGCCTTGCGTGCCAGGCCTTCTTTCCCCACCTCAGGCAAGACAATCCTCATCCTGTCCAACACACAGCAGCAGTCGCCTATATCAACTGGCAGGGTGGGGCACGTTCTCTCCCCTGTGCCAGGAATCCCTCCGGCTCTTGGAACTCTGCATTGGGGTAGATGTTCACCCAATCGCATCCTATCGGGAGAACACTCTGGCGGACCAGCTGAGCCGGGCTTTTTCCTGCCACGAATGATCCCTCGGGAGATGTGGCCCTTCACATCTTCCGCAGGTAGGGGTTTCTCCTCCTAGACCTCTGCAATACAGCAGAACAGGAAGTGCTCCAGGTAGTGCTCTACTCCCTCATGGGGAATGGTCGGGGGTCCCTGGGAGATGCTGTCCTTATCCCCTGACCCAAGGGCCTGCTTTACGTGTCGTCATCCCCCCTCCCCGGTCGCCATTTCTGCTGGTGCACAGGGTGCTTTTGAAAGTGAGGGACTTCAGGGCCTCCCTCATCCTCATTCTTGTCCCAGACAGCCTTCGTTCACATCCGATAAACACGTTGTGCAAGAAGCCACTTGCGCTCCCCCCTGCACTCAGACTTCATAACTCAGGACTTCGGCAGACTTCGCCACCCGCACCTACAGTCCCGCCACCTAATGGCCGACAGCAGTGGCGCTCCAGTGCTCGGAGCAGGTGCAGGAAGTCCTGTCTGGCTAAATGGAAGCGCTTCTCCCTTTGGGCTGCTCAGAAGGGTATCTCCCCAGTACTGGTTCTGGACTTCCTCCTCATCAAGCAGGGTTCACCTGGCGGCTATTTCCGCCTTTCACACAGGCTTTAGGGACACGATGCTCTTTGCACATCCTATGGTCCAGAGATTTGTACAGGGTTTGAACAGACTTTACCTGGTCAGTCTGTCCCCCTGTAGGATCTAAACTTAGTTCTGTCCAGGCTCAAGGGGCTCCCTTTCGAGCCCCTGGTGACGTGCTTGCTGCTGCACTTCTCCTGTAAGGTGTCCTTCCTGGTGGCTATCAGGTAGGCCAGGCGCACATCTAAACTGAGGGCTCCCCCCTTACAGTATTCATCAAGAACAAGGCCTGGTTACGCCTCCACCGCGCCTTCCTTCTGAAGGTGGTGTCTCACTTTCTTGTGTTTCAGGGCATTTTTCTCCCGTTTTTTTACCCAAAGCCCCATGCTTCAGGCAAGGAACAGGCGCTACGCATGTTAGATGTCAGGAGAGCCTTAGCTGTTTATTTAGAAAGAACAAAGCCCTTCCGAAGGTCTCCACAGCTCTTTGTGGCAACTGCAGAACAGCTGAAGGGGCAGCCGGTCTCTGCACAGGGGAACACCTTGTGGATTACATCCTGCATCAAGGAGTGCTATCGGCTAGCTGGGGTACCAGCTCCTCCGCTCACGGCCCAGTCCACTAGGGCCCAGGCCTCCTCCACAGCCTTTGTGGCTCAGGTCCCGATCCTGGACATCTGCAGGGCCGCCACGTGGTCCTCGGTACACACTTTAGCCAATCATTATGTGCTAGCTCACCAGTCTAGGAAGGATGCAGCACTGGGTAGGGCTCTGGTAAGATCCAGTGTAAACTGACCAGGGATTTGTGGCTGGTTCTTTGGGACCGGAAAGACTCATTCAGGGTAGCTGAGATCGGGTTCTCTAACCCCTCACCTGTGTGTAGGTCCAGGGCTGATTGTGGCACAGGAAGAGCTGGGGTGTCAGAGGGGTTTTGCACATGTGGCTTCCTGCTGGCTGCATTAGCAGCTGGAGTGCTCGGTGTAACTGGTTTGTGGACTATTTGGGAAAGGTCTCCAGTCTGGGGCTGTAAAGACCCCTGGTTTTGAGCAATTCGCGCTGAGTGGATGCCCTCGGCGGTGCCCAGACCTGGCCCGGTCATCACAGCTAGTGAGAGCGTCCAGTAAATGTAGGCACCTTAGCATCCACCAGTATCCTGCTCCCCCCCTTCCACCCCGGCTACCAACAGCCCAGCAGATCAAGTCCTCTCCTCCCGCCCCGTGTTTCCCGCCTGCCACAATCAGCTGTTTCTCAGTGTGCAGGAGGCACTGGGAGGAGTGGAGATGGGGGCACACTGAGGGGCAAGGTGGAAAGAGGTGGAGCAGGAAGAAGGTGGGTGGGTGCTTGGGGGAAGCGCAGGCACCAAGCACGAGGCAGGAAGTGGCAGGGTGGGGCATGGCATGGGGACTTGGAGAAAGGGTTGAGTGGGAGCAGGTCCTGAGGCAAAGCAGAGACTTGGGCACCCCCCGTAACCCAGAGGAAGCCAGCGCCTGTGATACGTGTTAGCAGGTGACTCACCTGATCTGCCACAAAACCCCCTCTAGCCTCCCCCAACGGCGCGATGATCTCTCAGGTACCAGCTGACCTAGCAGGATCATTTTAACTAGACAGTGCCTAACTCATTGTCCAAAGGTGTTTGTATTTGAATAGGAGACACTCCAGGCTACCACACCTCCGTTATTCCTGGAGTGCGAGGCAGGTGGCACCAGCCCTGCTAGCAGATGGATGATTTCGTATTCACTGTGGCATTAAATAACCCAACAGTTTCATAAAATCAGTCAGAAAATAATGTTTTACACAGACCAATTATCCAGCCTGGTACACGCGTGTTCTTTAAGAGCGTTGTAGATTATCCTGCCCTCAAGCTTCCGCCCACCGCCCCGTCATACAAACTGTGGTTCCCAGACCTCTGCAGACCCTGCTCCCAGCTGAGCAGGCCGAGCTATCTCCTGTTCCCTACCTGCTGGGCTGCGTGCCCGGAGACCCCAGCCCTCTGCTGCTTTCTCCCCAGAGCGGGAGTGCAGGCAGACTGCCCAGAGGAGAAACCATCTGTGGCACAGGAGAAAAGAGCAAGCTGGGAATGGCTCAGTGTCTCTGGCCTGGCCTGGCTTCCTGCCTATCACCGCACCCAGTAAAGGGCCAGCCCTGAAGGTGGCCAATGTCTCTGCTCAGCCGGTGACACGAGTTAACATGAGATGCCTTGTTCGCACGATTGGTTGAACTCTGGTCACCCTGCCTGGTGCTGCCAGCTCAGCCAGAAGCCTTGTTCTACCTGTTCACCACGCTCCACAGCTGCTGCTGCTTCTCACCTGAGCCAGGCAGGAAAGGGGAGAGCTGGGTGGGGGAGGTGACACCATGCACCACAGTCAGCCTGGAAACGCTTCCAGGCCAACAGGTTGTATTGGACACCACCCTGCTGGGGAATGTACCTGTCTCAGGCCCCGTGAAGGGAGGGGCTTGCTGCAGAATATCAGCAGCAGGAGCTGCCTGGCCTGCCAGGAAAGGGGAGCTGGAAATGAAACCTGTGGCTTGGCAGGCAGTTGCTGAGGGAAGGGAAGAGCCCAGATTCCACCCTTGGGCCACATCCCAGGAGCTGCTGTGTCAGCTTGAGGCCAATGGCAGGAACGTGGGGCGCAGCCTTGGCTGGCAGCTGGGCAGAGGCGGAGGGGCAGCGTGGTGCCTGAAGTGAGGCGATTGCTTGTCAGCTGTGGGTGAGTAAAACCTGTGGCTGCCTGTGCGCGCTGGGGGGTGCGCCCGCTCCAGCTCGTCCCCTGGGCAGGGGCTGTTGGCTGCTCCCTGACAGGCAGAGGCAAGCGCAGCGGCAGCCTCCTGCAGTCCAGGGGCCAGGGTGGCAGAGTCGGAGCAAGCCGGGCATGAGCTCTCCCGCACTCCGCTGCCGCCATGCAGGCGAACGTGCCCTGTGCGTGGTGACAGTCCTAGCACAAAGCTGCAATGCGCATCAGCTGTGTGTGCAGCTGCCCATGGTCGCCTTCCTCTGGAAAAGGGACCCAGCTGCCCCCCCAGGTGGGTGGCAACCAGGTAAGTGGCATTCCCCTGCCCCTGACCTAAGCCTCCTTCCCCTCTCAGCTCTCCTGTGTCCTTCCCGCACCCCAGCTGTGCCTGCCTCCCAGCCTCCAGCTCATCTTAACACAGTGCCTATGCTGCTTGCCTCCCCCATCGCCACCTGTGTCCTAGTCTAGCTACCACCTGGGGTCCTGTTTCCTGAATGCCCCTCCAGTCCCATTTGTCCCCTAGGTCCTGGTCTCCCCCAGGTCCTGGCCCCTAGTCACACCCCTGTGCGACTCTAGGCCCATGATATTATTTCCCACACACTCCATTGATCCAGCCATAGATCCATAGGAGACGAAGCAACAGGTACAGCACAGACCAGGGAACGTCCCCCAGCAATTCCTAGTGCAGAGCTTTTAGCAAGTCATGGCTCTCCCGCCCTCAGCAGCTTCCCGTTGGGGACCAACCCCAAGCCCTGATGCCCGGAGGGTTCACTTGGGGGAGGGGACATAGAGCCCACGTATGCAGGGTCTTCCTCCCCATCCAGGTCTGTACCAAATATGTTTCAAACCCAGCATCTGTAGTCAGCAGTGCCAGACTGGAGTCGGGGGAAGAGCCCCCTTCCCTCGTCAGCCCAGCAATTGAAGCCCAGCTGGCTAGCCCTAGGCTACAAGGGCACACTCTTGACTCATCTCCAGCTTCTCATCCACTGTAATCCCCAGGTCCTTTTCTGCAGAACTGCCACTTAGCCAGTCGGCCCCCAGCCTGTAACAATACTTGGGATTCTTCTGTCCCAAGGGCAGGACTCTGCACTTGTCCTTGTTGAACCTCATCAGATTTCTTGTGGCCCAATCCCCTAATCTGTCCAGGTCACTCCGGACCCTGTCCCTGCCCTCCAGCGTATCTACCTCTCCCCCTAGCTTAGTGTCATCCGCAAACTTGCTGAGGGTGCAATCCATCCCCTCAGCCAGGTCATTAATAAAGCTGTTGAACAAAACCAGCCCCAGAACTGGCCCGGGAGTACTCCACTAGAAAACGACTGCCAACCAGATATCAAGCCATTGATCACGACCCATTAGGCCTGACAATCTAGCCAGCTTTCTATTCACCTGACAGTCCATTTATCCAATCCATACTTCCTTAACTTGCTGGCAAGAGCTAAGTGGGAGACCGTACCAAAAATAGACTTTATCCCTCTATCCCTAGAGATTTTAAGTCCCAGCTTGACAAAGCCCTGGCTGGGAAGATTTAGTTGGGTTGTTCCTGGTTTGGGCAGGGGGTTGGACTCAATGACCTTCTGAGGTCTCTGCCAGCCCTGGGATTCTGTGATTTCAACAACTGAACTATCTGCACTGAAATATTTCACTCTATGGAGTCTAGGCCTCTGTGCCTTCCTGTCCCATGTGTAAATAGGCAGCAGGTTTAAAACAAACCAAAGGAAGTTTTTCTTCACTCAGCGCGCAGTCAACCTGTGGAACTCCTTGCCAGAGGATGTGGTGAAGGCTAGGACTTTAACAGGGTTCAAAAAAGAGCTAGATAGATTCATGGAGGTTAGGTCCATCAATGGCTATTAGCCAGGATGGGTAGGAATGGTGTCTAGCCTCTGTTTGTCTGGTCGTGGGTGACAGGGGTGGGATCACGTGAGGATTACCTGTTGTGTTCACTCCCTCTGAGGCATATGGCATTGGCCACTGTGGGCAGATTGGATACTGGGCTGGATGGACCATTGGTCTGACCCAGTCTGGCCGCTCTTATGGTCTAAATCTGGAAACAATGAAGTCAAAGTCTGCAGTCAAACAGCAGGTATTGAGCTCAATACAAGGGTCATGGAGCAACATGGTCTAATGGTTCATTATGAGGACAGAGCATCTGGGTCCTTATTTATTCCATCCTGGGCTTGTCGGGGGCAGGGGCAATGGCTGCAGAGAGAAAGAGCTTTTCAGCACTGCCAGTCTACTGCAGAAGGAAGGTGCCTGCCAGTGAGGTGGCGAGTGGCCTCACACCCCTCCACTCCCCTGGGCCCAAGCAGACTAGTCTGATGTGGTGACAACAAAGTGAAAAACAAAGGTGAAGCATTACGCACCTGCAACTAGTGACTCAGTTCAAAGGCATCAAGGAAGCTACGTGCAAGGTGCATTGGGGAGTGGTGGCTCTGTGCCTAGAGCCCAGCGAGGGACACGGGGCTGTGATCCAGAGGCAGGCATGCAGTGCTGGTACTGGTGGCAGTGGGCTTTCTGTGGCTGGGTGTTAGATCATATTGAGGCTGCAAGGAGCTCTCGGTCAGATGCCCAGGCTACGTCTACACTGGCATGATTTTCTGCAAATGCTTTTAATGGAAAAGTTTTCCGTTAAAAGCATTTGCGGAAAAGCGCGTCTAGATTGGCGCGGACGCTTTTCTGCAAAAGCACTTGTTGCGGAAAAGCGTCCGTGCCAATCTAGACGCGCTTTTGCGCAAAACAAATCTGAGCTGTCTACACTGGCCCTTTTGCGCAAAAGCTTTTGCACAAAAAAAAGCGTCCGTGCCAATCTAGACGCGCTTTTGCGCAAAACAAATCTGAGCTGTCTACACTGGCCCTTTTGCACAAAAGCTTTGCACAAAAGGACTTTTGCCTGAACGGGAGCAGCATCGTATTTCCGCAAGAAGCGCTGATTTCAGACAGTAGGACGTCAGTGTTCTTGCAGAAATTCAAGCGGCCAGTGTAAGCAGCTGCTTTTGCGGAAAAACTTGCCAGTCTAGACACAGCCTCAAAGTTGACAGCATCCCTGCATTGCTCAGCCCCATCTAAGCTAGCCAGCTGCGCAATGTCCCCCTGGCATCAGCCAGGCCCTTGCAGAGGGGAGCACATTTCCCTTCCAGGGGCATACCTCCTAACCCACCCAGTGCACACACTGGCTGTGTCTAGACTGCATCCCTTTTCCGTAAAAGGGATGCAAATTAGACATATCGCAATTGCAAATGAAGCGGGGATTTAAATTCCCC